ATGAAATATTGTTTAAACTAAACGGACCGACTACTCAAATATAGGTATCCACAAAAATAACGTTTAAAATAACAAATCTTCAAGAATAAAACAGACTGTCACCGCTCGGTGTTGACCTCATTGTCCACTCTTTTATTTACATACGCGCTATCACTAATATTGAACACTTTCACACACAAATATAACACGCTAGAACAAGTTGTGTTTATTTATCCATTAACCACACTGTTTCACGCTTTGTGATTTTTTAAATATGGATAGCTGTTTGCTATTACCGCTTCCAAAGTTTATTGCTCTTTTTACGTTTTCCAAAAGGAAAAAAGCATTAACATGAAAACAATTCGAAATAATTTAATTTATTTTGTTTATTATTTTATACAAGCTTTTAAATTTTATAATTTGTAATTTTTTTCTCAATGCGTAGATTTCCATCTCTGTCTATTTTTTTTAATTATATACCATTGTAGTAATGGTGTTTTGTTTTCAAATTCATATCCGTATATATTTTGACAATGTTACTAATAGACAGCACCCCATTTTGAAAAATCGCCAAGCATAAAACAGCTTCGTTAATGGGTAAATAAAACAGAAATGTTATTTTTATGTGTATTAAAAAGCTCTTTAAAAATTTAAAACAGACCACTCATATAAGTAAGAAAACGAATATATAGTATATATGTTATGTATAGTACTCATATTGTATATATAAAGAGAGGCATATATATATGCGTGTGTAAGTCTAGAGCACATTTTCTGATTCAAGAAGAGTAAATGTATTTATTGTGTATTTCTGAGTTGAAGAACTTGTTCCTGAACCAATTATGGCAAAGTTACAAACATCTAGTTCCTTTTTTCTGCTTCATTTGCTTGCATTTTCCTTCTGTTCACCTTTCTAATCCTTCTTCATTCTTTTCTATTTCCCTTTTGCATCCATTTTGTTTATTTCGCCCCCATTTTTCTGATTCCCTTTCTCTTTCTTTCTTTCTTTCTTTCTTTCTCCTCCATTTTTTTCTGTCTCCCTTTCATATCTTCTTTCTTTCTTTCACTCCAAATTTTTCTTTCTTTCTTTCTTTCTTTCACATCCATTTTTTTCTGTTCCCCTTTCTCATCATCTTTCTTTCTTTCGCTCCCAGTTTTTCTGTCTCTCTTTCCTATCCTTTTTCTTTCTTTTTTTCTTTCTTTCACCTCCATTTTTTCTGTTCCCCTTTCTCATCATCTTTCTTTCTTTCGCTCCCAGTTTTTCTCTCCCCCTTTCCTATCCTCTTTCTTTCTTTCTTTCTTTCTCCTCCATTTTTTCTGTCTCCCTTTCTTATCCTCCTTCTTTCTTTCTTTTACCCTATTTTTCTCATCCACAGTCTCATCCTCTTTTTATCATTCTTTCTTTCTTTTTCCTCCATTTCTTTCTACTCCCCTTCCTCTTTTTTTTTACCTTTTTTCTTTCCTTCTTTTACAGTCATATTTAAGATGTCTATTCTTTCCTTTGCCCTGATTTTCACACATTAAGCTGTCAGTTATTACAGCCTGCAGTTGCTACTGCTGCCGCCATTATTCTGTACCAAGCGACGATCTCAATTCTGGATGCGCCGCCAACGGCCCAGGGCACGAACACGATCGAAATGAAAAATAAGAATAGAACAAAATATTTTAAAAAAATTAAACAAAACTACATTAATGCACTCGGCAAATCGTTTTCATAAACTAATCAGATGAAATAAAATTAAACAAACGAGCCAAAAAATTCAACAAAGGCAATTGTAATAAAAGCAACATGAGAAAGAAAAATGAAAGAAAGCAGACGATAAAGCAAGGAGAAAATTCACTGTAAAAAGACATTGTGAGGTAAAAGAAATTTAATCGAAGAACTTTCAAAATGAAAACAAACGAAGTAAAAAATTCCTGAATTAAAACTTAGATTTGAACGGAAGAATGATTTTTCGAGAAATCATAAACACGAAAAATTATCAATAACTGTTAGAGGAAACAGTGAGAAGACTTCGTGGACACAGAAGCGTGAAATAAAAAGTGGAATGGAAAGAAAAAAGAATCACGGATTAATGAAGTTAGGAAGGAAGGAAAGATAGAATAAATAAAAGATAGAAATAAAATAATGAAATAAATACAGAAAATGAAAGGGGTTGAAGAAAATGTTAAGATGGTAATAAAATTCTGATGCGTTATTGTGAACTTTTCTGGAGGTTTTTTGTTCAGTGTGAAAACCTTTACAAATTGGATCTTTTGTTGTGAACTTTGTAGTTTAGAAAAAGAACAGCAGGCGGCAGAAAAATGGCAACAATTCACAAAAATAAAAAAATAAAACGAACTTAAAAATCTCTGCCTCTTCCAAAAGAGGAAAAAAAGATTTAAAAAAAAAAATATGCCGGCTGTGAAATGGAACCCTCACAGAACAACAACAACAAAAAAAAAATAAAATGGCAGTCGTTACTTGTCCGGTTCTTGGGAGAAAACTAGCTCTAACGTTGATGGCTGCAAAGAAGTTGCAAAGGTGGTATTGTCAATAATCATAATTATGAGATGTAATTTTTATGGCGTTCTCTTTTATGTATACCAGGAAAGTAACCTCAGCTCTTCGAGTGCTAGACTAATAATAAAAGAGAAAAATGGTTTTGGTTTGAGACTTGATTTCTTTCTCGTCCCTTCTCATAAATCTAGTAACTGTCGCTCTAATATCAGATGCCATTACTGTTGCATGATTGCTACACGTGACATTAATATGACGTCACAGCCTCATTCTGAATAAAGAGGGGTTTTGCAACATGGTGATTAGTGGGTACAATCATTACTGCCTTTCTGCTGCTATATCTTCGATACTGATAATTGTAATTTAGATAAACTGGATGATAGATTTTGCAAGCATGAAAATATACTGGTTTAAAATATTACGTGTATGAGAATTGCTACTGAGAAATTTTCAAGTGTCTTCGGCGTTTGGATAAAATAATACCAGAGTTCGTCTTTAACTTTACGTTCTATTGGCACTCATCCTAGACCCTAAGTGTAACTCGTACATACGATCCATCTTTAAAGATGCTGTGAAAATGCTCGGTTCTCTCTACCACTGCAGTAAGTACCTGACTCATATCGCTGCCCTCTACCTTTACAAAAGCCAAATCATGCCGAAAAAGGATTAATGCTGCTATATATGGGCAGGAGATACCCAGTTTTCATTTTCCAGCCTCGATAGAGTCCAAAGTAGTCTGCGCTTCCTTGTGAGTGACGAATTATTTCCCACCCTACAACCCCTTTCCTCACAGACGAAACGTCGCAAGTCTCTCGCTGCTCTATCGTTATTTCCATGGAAACTGTTCAGACGAACTACATTCCTTAGTTCCACCAGTTCTAACCTTCACGGCTAGGACCCACCATGCTAAGCAAATTGCAGTGCACCACCCTAATTCCCTTTGTATTCCCTTGGTGAGATGCAAGTTGCACTCGATCAACTTCTTCCCATGAACCACAGCTTTGTGGAACCTGCTCCCAAGAGGATGCTTTCCCCGATCACTACAATGTTGGTTCGTTCAAGTCCAGGTTCAGCCGTTATCTTCCCCACATATCCGCATAGACTTTGCCTCTTACACTGTAAGCCTCTACCTCGAGTGGCTACAGGGCTTTGTACTGGGTGAACATCACTGTAAAAAAGTTGGGAATTCCCTGTAGGTTACCCGGGTCGACATATACCTGATAAACGCGGGAGGGGGTACAATGGCCGAAACGTTGTGATAACAACAAAGATGGGGACAACAGTCCGAATGTAAACAGTATAAATAAGAAACATCCTCCCCCTCTCTCTCTCTCTCTCTATATATATATATATATATATATATATATAATTATTATGATTATTATTATGCTTTTTAAAGTTTATTATTAGTATTTAATTAATATTAATCTTTTAGCTTTTAGCAATATTAATCTTTTAGCTTTGTGAAGCAGCAGAAATGTGGTTCTACAGAAGGATGCTGAGGTTACTATGAACTGAACATGTGTGCAACAACGAGGTTTTGGAGACAATGAAAAGAAAAAGGAACTTTGTACTTAACATCAGGAAGAGTCAGTTGAAATTTATGGAACACGTAAATAGGAAGGGGGGCTTGGAGAATCTGATACTCACAGGACAGATTGAGAGAAGAGGAAGAGAGGAAAGCAGCTTGTAACATACTTGATGAGGTTGAATAAATGGATGGTAGAAAAGGGTTTGGGACAAATAACAAAAAGAAAAACACTTATTGAGCTAAAAGAGACAGGAAGATGTGGAGGGCCATGACTGTCTACGTTCTGAAGGGGTACGGCGCATAAAAGAAGAGAGAAGAAGACTAATTTCTAAATTAAAAATTATTTTCGACTATGTCTGGTTTTATTATACAAGTCAATGTTTTTATATTAACATGGAATAGCCAGCTAAAAATCCATCTCTTCTGCCCCCAGCTATAAGTGAAATGACAGGGCATATAGGGTTCTCTAGCTGCAGTTGGCAACCAGTATAAGAGAAAGATCCTGTATAGATATAAATATGCGAAAAGAGAATAGTCATCCTAATGTGGTACATGTAGGTAGATTAGTGCTGCCTGCACGAAGATTAGAGTTCCTTCATTGTTGATAAGTGTTTCAAGAGAAACGTTGTGATAATAATAAAAAAGATGAGGACAATTGTCCGCGAATAAATAGTGTAAATAAGGACATGAGATATTAAGGAATCCCATTTGTTATAAATTCACTCTATCTATCTATCTATCTATCTATCTATCTATCTATCTATCTATCTATCTATCTATCTCATTCTGATCATAATTATCTATCTCATTCTGATCATATCTAACTCATTCTGATCGTATCTATCTATCTATCTATCTATCTATCTATCTATCTCATTCTGATCATAATTATCTATATCATTTTGATCATATCTAACTCATTCTGATCGTGTCTATCTATCTATCTCATTCTGATCGTGTCTATCTATCTATCTATCTCATTCTATTCAGATCTATCTATCTATCTATCTATCTATCTATCTATCTATCTATCTATCTATCTCATTCTGTTCAGATCTATCTATCTATCTATCTATCTATCTATCTATCTATCTATCTATCTATCTATCTATCTCATTCTGTTCAGATCTATCTATCTATCTATCTATCTATCTATCTATCTATCTATCTATCTCATTCTATTCAAATCTATCTATCTATCTAGCTATCCATGTCAGAGTGCTCGCTTCGTTAACCAAATTTTTGTGTTGTATTTTTAAACAGCTGTTGTATATATTTCATGACAAACATTTGTGTCGGCCGACACTCATATAAAATTGTATTAAAGATTGCTTTTCATAAAGATATCTCTTTTTTTTTTATTGAACTAAGTTTTATGTTTTTTCAGCTACTGTCGCTTAGAATTGTATTCTGACAAAATTAAAAAAACAAAAACAAAAACAAAAAAACGTGACAGGGAATTAATTTTTCAGCCTTCTCTAATTCAGATTCTTTTATTTTCCTACCCTCACTCAACCAAAGAATTCAAAACCAACCAACCAACCATAAATCAGATTTTTTTCGTTCATCATTCAGCCTGGGGTAACTTTGGCGAGAGAGGGACAAGATCTCAAAGCTTAACACTCTCCCTATTTCACCCCGCTTATTAAAAATATATCGCTTATTTACGACACAGAGTAATTTTAAGTTATTTTAATAATTTTTTTAAAGATGATTTCACCCCAAACAAAGCAATAATACCAGTAGGATGCAAGAAGTCACTTAAAGTGAAAGAGAATGAGAAGATTGTAATAAGGAGAAGTGAGGAGAAAGGACGCTAAAAGAACGGGATTAGGAAGACATAAAATGGCGATTGGCGTTACATTTAAATTTTTGAATATTGTAGGTGGCATGAAAGCAAGGAATCGGAAGTGATTTCTACAGGAGAGAAGTGTGAGAAGAGGAACTGCCAGAATAGAATATATGGTTCATCTATCTAGTTCAACAGTAAAACGATGATACTTAGTTGCCAATCAGGTCGAAATCAATATTTTGTATTGTTCAATATATATATATATATATATATATATATATGTCAGCCACTCAGTTAATTCATGCAATCGAAGCAGCAAGTAAGAAAGCACATAACAATTACTATGAAAATATTTGTGGAAAAGACAGAGGGGAAACCCACGTCACGTCGGTGAGAAAGTGACTGAAGTTGAGATGCAAGGTCACGACAGATAATATTACAGACCATTTTGTCAAAAATTTAGAGATATCCAGTAGGGTCACCCGATCGGCTATGGCAGCAGTATTCAATGCACGGACGAATGGTCGATTTATATATGTGCAAGATGGATTCTGACGGTGAAAAAATATCTGCCATGACACAGAGAACCAAGTTTCCTAACAACAGACCTAGCAATGGATTCAATATAATCACCCCACTTCATGCTAGCGAAAATTGTGGGCTTAAGAAGGCGAAAAGAGGTGATCTCCTGGAGGTTAGCATCAATCATGCTGATGGCAGGTAAAAAATGTTCTTTGCGGTGCTTAAATGAAATCATTTTTCTTTTGGAAGCGGCAAAATTTACAGACCATTCCTTGGCACCGTTATCTACTGACTGGAGCTGTCTTTCGAGAGCAGATGCCAGTTTTAATTTGGTTTTACTAAGACAGGATTAAATAGATGTGACTTCACAGAAAAAAACCTGGTTAGCAAAAGTCCAAATTACTGTTTATAAACACACACTCTCCAACAATTTTTCTCGATCGATCATATTGAATATGTATAAGTGTATATATATATATATATATATATATATATATATATATATATATATATATATATATACACTGTGTGCCAAATTATTATCGAGATAACTTTTTTTTTTTCTAATATTTCAAAAACCGTCCAATCAATTCACACAAATTTTTCACACAATGTTGGCAACACTGACCTGCACAATCACTGATCTGCGCAAAGTAAACAAACTGGCGCCATATTTTTGAGTGTGCCAAATTATTAGAAAAGTGTAAGAATTTAGTGAAAACATGGACCATAAAAGTAGTTTAAGTGATGCTGAAAAGAAAACTATCACCTCAGAACTCTCAAAAGGTAAATCTACCCTATATATATATATATATATATATATATATATATATATATATTTTGACACACAAACACACACACATATCTATCTATCTATCTATCTATCTATCTATCTATCTATCTATCTAGCTAATATTAGTGGTAAATATACACATACATATATAAATATATATACATAGGTGCATACACATGTATATTTTTTGAATAAAAAATTCCAAGAGGATAGAATCCAGTTAGAACTCAATGTCCAGGACAGAGTAAGGATATAATAAAAAGGCTTAAACACTAATATTCCATGGTTATTATTTATTCCATTGGAATCGTAAATACGATCCAATTCATCAAACCTACAAATTCAAAAAGAAAACAGAAAAAACAACTCCGGAAATAAAAATAGAATTTAGAGAGAGTGTAAGTATGAGAGTGTGGGACGAATGTCAGCGCTAAAGAGAGGGGTAACAGACGGGAGAAGGTAGGAGATTAAAACTTAACAGAGAGGAGTTTAGGAGAGGTGAGTGGAAGAGGTTTAAGTGAGAGAAATATGAATGTTGTCGGATGTCTAATATATTAAAGATACATTTCGTGGTGACATACACACACAATAGACGATCTAATCTTAAAGATCAGAAGAAGAGGGAGGGAAAGGAAAAGAAAAGAAAATATATGTATATATATTTATATATTTTGCATATGTATGTGTATATTTACTACTATATATATATATATATATATATATATATATATATATATATATATATATATATGTGTGTGTTTGTGTGTCAAATATATATATATATATCTGTCAAAATTACCAAGGGAATTCAGAGCTGGATGAATCCATCCAGCTCTTATCTGAAAGAACAACTTAAAAGAGACTGTTTGACCAACACAAGGCCTGACCAAAATTCATGTTAAAAAATAAAGAAATAAAAACAAATAAAAACTACAGACAAAAGTTCATTTTTTCCATCAAGACATTCATTTCTGTAGTTCACTGCTACCAGCAAGCAGATTTTAATTTTTTAATATTTTTTATTGTTCAATATATATATATATATATATATATATATATGTCAGCCACTCAGTCAGTTAAATGCCACCCGTGTTCTAGTCTTGTCCGATCATGTCTCTTTCGGTTGATGCAGCGTTGGGGTCCCTATTGAGGAATTGCCGATGAACCACTGGAACCCAAATTCGTTATGCTAAACAACAATAACAACCAAGATGAGTATGTTGTTCCGAATATCAAAGCATGTAACAGTGATAATTCTTTATTCCAAAAATCCGATAAATTTAACAAAATTAGAACGGACCCGACTTGATAGACGGATGAAATATGGTTGGATACTACAACCGCCGGAACCTTGTGAGCCTAAACAAGATTAAACTTGTGAGCATAACCAAGATGAGCATGCAAATCCAAATAGCGAAGCATACAATATTGACAATTTCTCATCCCGACAAAACTTGTAGCACTGTGTCAAAAATAAGCTGATCTTCGCGAATAACAATTTTGTCCGATCGCTGAATATATTTTAATGGAGAGATGCTGAACTATCAGATTTTACATGTTGAAATGTATTGAATAGGTAGCCTTTTTGTCATTCATCTCACCCATACAGGAGATTTAATTCAACTTTCGGATTTGATATATCGATGACGATCATCAAAAAAGTAAACATGCTAACTTATTCTACTCAAGAAATTCATACACTAATTAAGACAAACAAAGAAAAGATATGGATTGCAGAAGTTAAGAAAATAGCGTAAGAAATATATATATATATATATATATATATATATATATATATATACATTTCATTGAATAAAACAGACAAGGTACTTTGATTTAGTTTTTTTATACAATTTCTCATGCGATCTAATATTTTTTCAGATGATAAATTATATAAAAACTGTCCGAATGTTCTTTTAATTCGAGCACTTTCGGCTATACATTTAGCTATTTTCAAGGATGAAATATTTTAAATGTTAAATAAAAAATAGTTTGTTGCATGTGTGTATTTATATAATGTTTTTATTTTTCAAAACACGGTCAAGATATTGTGTCCATGTTCATAGTTGATATTATTAAGTGTTGTGTTTTTTGCTTTTATTAATAAGGCTTCAATTATTTTTAGCCTTTTTTGCATGTAGATGATGCTATTATAGTTGTGTTGTCAATTCATTAAGGAATTGTATCAATCAAAATTCGTAAATAATTATATAGGCCACACTACAACATGTTTGACACGAAGACTCACTCTACACCTTTCTGACCATAGCTCAATTAGATCTCATTTAAATATCCATGGAGACCTACCGGTTACTATTCATAACATACTTGTTGACAACACAACTATAGAGTCGGCCGGGGCTGGCATTTTTTTGGACAGAGACCACCAAGCTAGTCACAGATAATGATTTTATGGCTACAAGTAGGTGAAGATGAGGGTAAAGAAATGATTCTACGTCACTTGTTGATATAGGTGGATAATGTGCGTGTCGCTAATCGAATAAGATTTTCTTAGTCCGGAAAATTTTTGTCAAGTGGTTAAAAGAGGAAGAATTACGGACTAAAAGTGATAACTAGGAATAAAAAAAGGCAGATAAAAATTTTACGATGACGTTAAAAGTGATACCGGTTTTCTGTCAGGCATCCACGGGTCGAGTGGAACACCTATTCTCTGGATGGTGGCAGCGTGAGGAACTGATATGAGGAAGTGGGAGAAAAATGAATACGCCCACTGAAAAGTACTGGTGGGAGGTGCAAGCAAGAGATGGGGGAGAACAAAATGGTGGATCGAAATGTTGCTAATACCACTTCCACAGGGGGAGCTCCCCATATTTAGACATGCAAAATGCTTCCCAGGACACTGTCAGCAGTGAGTTCTTATTGGATATTTTGAAAGTCCTGGAACCCCGGATCGTGTCGAACACAACACCAATGTTGAGCGGGGGGTTGGTGGTGGTGGATAAAACCGTTACATCAGAGAGAAATTACAGATAGAGAGAGCAGTAGACACGCTTCCATTACACCAAGAGGAGGCGATCGCTTCCCCGATTCCCATGTGATTTGCTGCCACGAAGAACTCCTAACTTATGCCTTGTTC